CAGTATGGGTCAAACTATTGATTATCTGGGACATGTTTTAAACTTAGATGCTGAACTAAGCCCCCTCCCCTCTTCGTGCACCATATCATTCGTTATTTTGTTTCATTATTATTCCTACATTGACTCGCTGTACTTAAAAGCATAACTTAATTTCACAAGTAAAAAACAAACTTGACACACAACCCCCAACCTGACCGCCAACAACTCCCTCCTGCTTACGAACGAATGACCCTGCCTCTAATAAAGCGCTGAGTGTTTTGACATGTCGTAGCATTTTGACAGCTCGCTATTTGTCTATAATAGAATTACCAGCAATCAAACAATCTGCGTTTATATCATTGCTCTATTTAAACCGATTAATGTTGGCATTTTAAAAGAAAATCTTGCTTGACATTGAAATGTACTACATTTTTCATAACCATTTGTCATTTTCATTCTAAACGAGTTGGTGACGTTTGTCTTTTCCGTCGCTAATGGCTCTTTATTTTGCCTGCGCTTGTGACATAGTTCTTTCGGAAACTGGGTTGTTACATACGTATTTTTTTTGTTGAAAATCGAAATCTGAACAGGTGGAAATGTTTCATTTTTCCTGTGTTTCAATTTATTTTTATGTACACACATTGTTCTAATGTTCAATTATTTTGTGTGTCAGTTGACGTATTTATACTGATCATTATCGGAAGGTCGTGCGTCCATTTCTAATTATGGTAACGTCCGATGTTTTTTCTTCTTTCATCAACATTCTCAGCCTCATTTCATTAGTAACAAACTAAGGTGGACTTTTTTCTGATTTCTTGTAACTGCATCGGTATCTGAAATTCTCTGTTTTTAGTCAATTATGTGCATTTGTTCAGAAATATTACATTTTAGCTTGAAAGTATTCTCCCTGGCTTTGTGAAACCTGAATTGAACGATACTATGCGCAAAGATCTTTCTCTTCAGATATGTTCACATGATTTCAATTAATGTCTATTTTTTTCACAATATTTTCGACGCATTTTATTACAGTAAATTGTAATATTTTGCATCAGCTTATTGACTAAATAGTTTACCATTTCAGTTGAATTATCACAAAATTGCCAGTCGATGTCAGTCAGGTCAAAATGCTGCTTTAAATGATCTGAACTATATAAATTCATTTAGAAAGAAAAAAAACCATAAAAATACACTCGTCAGGTGCCTTCAGATTTGAGTGCAATAATTTCCCTGGGATAAAATTCATCATACCATCAACTAAAAGCCCCGCTGTGTTCAATTCTACGAGTATACGGGGAGGGAAAAAAAAGATAGATGAGCTGATAAATGAAAAGCTAACAGAAGTTAAAACATTTTTATACAAACAAGCAACCATCGCATCTCCTGCCTGCTCTATGATAGATGTATCATTTCCCTTCACTAAGTAGTGAGTACGACTGAACTGTCATCGGCAAAACTATGACCTATCTGTCATCTGTGTCTCTGTTTGCCGTGTTTTAGACTCTGAGGTCTATAGTTTAATACACACAATCAGATGTGCTGTTGCCCTTTGTGCGGTGGATGTTTAGAATTGGGCTTTCCCTAATTTTATCGCTTTTTATATTTCATAATTTCTGCAAGGTGATCAAAATTTATAAAGAGTCATTTTTATGCACCATTTTATTTTTGTCGACTGGCACATAAAATTGTTTACTGGCGAACAGGTAGTAGACGTATCATTAGAACACTATAATGTGATCATTCCCGGTGATAAGAAACGCAGTTGTAAATCTTTGGCGGAAGGTTCACATACACATCAGTGAATATATTGATGAGAGGAAAATCCACATATATCTGAAAGTATATATGTAGCTGAATTTTCAGCTTCTCAAGATTCTGAATTTAAAGGGACAATGGTTTGTTTGCCATTACAGGGCAGTGTAAGCTTGCATGTTAGAATGTGAAATGTGATCGTGATGCAATTACCATAAACACAGTATCAACAAAATCATGTTCAAAATAGAGTTTTTCCATGCCATCTAATAAAAATAATACCTTTCTCCCCCACTCCTACCTGCATCCGATCTCACCCATCACTACCTCTTCCTCCTCTTCATTACATCCTCCCGAATCCATAGAGAAGTAAATAATAGATGATGATCCACCTTCATCTACCAAGCGAAGTACTTCTCGCTCAGGGTGTTGATATTTAGTTCTGTGTCAGCGGAGAGAAAATTACATCCTTTTATGAAAAAAAATACTGTGGATTTTTTTTACACCAGTCAGGATTTTTGTAGTAGACAATCTTTCAAGTAGGATCTTCAAGACAATGGGCAGTCGTAGTGACCTTCAGGGGTCACTGAAATTTGATGGCAGTGAAAATAAAATTCTGTAATAATCAATATGATGATGATGACGACCGACCTTTCATTGTCCTGCAGGGATGACCCACCCTCCCTCACCTCCTCACAAACTTCAATGCAGATGCAGAAACGTCCCCAAAAAATGATCAGTCATAATGTCCAACTTTCTCTAATCTTTATAAATATACAATGCTGGATGCATATGCATGTTTTACGTGCATGTTTCAGTAAGTTCCCCCTGAAACAAACCTCATTAACGATTATGCGCACTTGTAATTAGTGATCTAAATTATATAATGCCCCCCCCCCCCATTTTATAAATAAAAAAAGTAAAATTGGAAAAAAACAATGCATTGGTATGAAATCTATTGATTGACAAGTTTGCTTCGCAAAAAAAAGAAATTTCATACAACAGTAAAATAATCCTCAATGAGAATCACTGTCGTGTACTTTGTTCCAGTGTCTCTCGCGTGACTCCATTGGTAACAGCTTTGTACCATATCGCTTGTCAATCAGCCTGTCACAGCGTAACTTGAGTGATTTGTTTGTTAATTCCATGCTGCAAAAATATGACAAACAATCGACTCATTTTTCATTAACCTGCATTTCTAATACATCACCTGATTATTTATCCTGTGCCTTGTAATGCTCTCAAGGACCTCCGTCAGTTATTATTTATTTATTTTTTTTGCGGAAAGACTTCCCCTTCCCCTTCAGTATCGACCACGTTCGACAGCCGCAAACAGAGACGCAGAGAATACGCTTTGATGGTATAGATTCCTACCCCCGAAAATTGCAAGAAACGTACAAGCCTGGAAATAAACAATATATGCAAATGTTGTGTACATTTCATCCTCATAGTCAATTTGTTTTTTTGCAAGAGTGTATATTTTCACTCCAGACTGATAGTTTTGGTTTGGTTTTCCTAATGTATATATATATAGCAGAGTTTGTATCTACCATGTTCGCATATATGTGCACGACACTATATCTATACATCAGTTGTTTACATTATGCTTCTTACTATTTATATGCATTCATACAATTCAATAATTGTTGTTTTTTTTTGTGTGTTTTTTTTTTTTTCGCTGACCCCCTCCCCCCTTCTTAGCATGTATACTCTGTGGTGATAATACTGTTTGTAGCGGCTGTAACTTCCTCTTCAGCAAAATGATGAATCGTTAACTCGGCTCGGTTCATGCAATTGGGATGTATGTCTGTGTGCCCTCTATATTTGTGCAATTTCTCTTTCTCAGTTTCTTGAAATGTTTGGTGCTTCATCGCTGCGTATTTAATGTTATTAAACACCCGTCAATCAAATGGTGCGCAATTGACTTTTCTTCTTCCCCCACGGTATTCACTGTACCACTAAATGCTATATTTCAAGCAAATACTCACTTTATGTAAATAGTGTAATTGTCACTTAAAAAAATCGCCCCGAGCGATGCCAGCGGCTGAAATGCCCCATTAGCCAATGCACTGTAGAATTTAGAAGTTGACATTACTGTCAATTCTAGATCATTGGGCAGTTTCAGTTGTTATACCAGCAGTTGCGTCAATTTCGCAGATGTTAAAAATTGTCAATTTCAGATGATTTAAAATATTTTGAATGTGTCATATGTAGTATATTTGAAAAAAAATTCAAGTAGATTGCATAAAAAATATGATGGTTTGGTCAGATTTTCTAGTATCAAACAAATAGTGCTAATAACTTTTCAACAGAAATTTTACGCTAGTGAATATAGTGAAGTATTGAAACAATTTACTGTATCACTTTGCTATTTAGATTGTGGAAGTTTTCCTTCATTTTTTTCCCTAAAACATGCAGCTGAGTGATGACAATGTATATCTACAAGTTACTCTGTTAATAAAAGTTGCTTGAATTTCCTAAGTTATATTTTATGAAATTATAAATTGTGGAATACCCTCCTTCCTTCTCTGCACTTTTTTTTTCTTCTTGATCAGTTTGTATAAACTTGGATAGAATGTTGTGTTCGCAGCATGAACACGGTGAATGTAAGGTGTATATAGACTTTTGACACTTTGAAGCAAATATTGAATTTTTTAGAACTGACTTCATTTGGTTCTGGTGATATTTGGAGTTGTTCTTTGCGTTGTTTACTCTCACTTGCCCTTGTCTCTTACCTAATGGATTACTAAGTATAGCCATGGCCATATCTTGAGTAGGATATGTGTACCGCACTGAGACGAGAGTTGTCTTTGTCTTAAATCAAAATCTATCATGGCTTTGTGAACTTTCACTCTATTCCGCACCGACAACATCATTTCTACAATGAGTACATCGGCAGAATGCTGGCTTGTGACAGCCTTGTCGCCGACACTCATCCATCACGGTGCCATCGCCGAGTTGCACTGGCTCGGGCTGCAGACTTCGCAGTGTTTACCGAGGTGACTCCTAATTTTCGCATGGTAATGGTCATGAGTAATCACTTTCACACGCATGCCTGATAAAAAGGTGCGTTTCCAAGGAAACTGTGATATCATTAAAACTCCCTTGTGCAATTCATTCATATAGTGTGTTGACGGTAAACAAAAGTCGTTTGTGTTCGGTCTTTTGTGCTTGACTTCTCTCACACCGCCCCATCCCGTGTTTGACCTAGTCCGCCTACCTATGTATACGCATATTTATTTATTTTATTTTTTTTATTTTTTTTTCAACAGGCGCAATTGCAGGCCACTCAGCAAGAGAGAAATGTCGCGTTGGCGAAAGCCCGAAAACTTGAAGATGAGCTGCAGACATTGAGTGTCTATTACAGGCAAGTATGACAAAAAAAAATGCAAAGAAATTAGAATGCATTGGAACCTTGAATGTGATATTAAATTTCGTTTGTCAAAACATGTCGCTGATACCTACTTAGAACGATAGACACAACTAGGCTTAGGTACGTACACACACCTTGAAGGCCAAATATTTCGCTGACAAGGCTACAGGAAGACGTTTGTTATTTGGACATGCATACGTGGTATATTTCATTTCATGAAGAAGAAAAAATATACACGTTTTAAGTTTGCTGACATGCACTGCCACTCAGAAGGTGCGTGACGAAAGAGTTAGTTTCCGTTTCCAGAATGTGGATGTGAGGCAAGAGGGAAAACCTGATAAAATACTTTAAAGTATATCGATCCCCATGTTGGTTGAGTGCAATGACCAGCAACCATGTGATCGCATTATCCACACACCTCTACTGTTATCAGATTTCATAACGTGTTTGTATACACCCGTATTTCTTATAAGTTCTGAGCTCCCCAATGATTGATTCCGATAACGGGATTTTGATTTACCATGTTTATATCAGTCAGAAGAAAAGAAAAATAAGCTTGCGTTTACTTAAACTAGTGTTAGTTAGTTTTCTGAAAAAGGTAATTTTGGGCCTATTTTAATTGGTTGCTTATTGCATTCGGCACTGATTCTATCTAATCAATAGAATATGCATTTCACAATTACGTCCAATGTCTGAATCATTTGACAACCAACCCTATCACCTGCCATGGATTCATGTGTCTTTGGATTACAATTCAAGAAAGGAAGATAAAAACAATAAATTTTTCATTTTTTTTTTCTAAAAACTGCACCACGCATCTTCTTTCTTTGGACATGCAATTAACATGCTATTTGTATGCAAATTAGGCTGTATTGAAGAGTGTGGGCACCAACAATTTTTAAGAATTTTTCCCGCTTTACCAAGTTTGAATACTGTCTTCACCATTATCTCTGTCACTTTAAAAATAAGAAGTTGACTGGAATACCCAAATTGTAAATGGTTGTGGGTCCCATAGAGATGAATAAAATGAGTGAAAAAGATATGGTTTCTTTAGACAAAATTTAAACACAAAAACAAAACAGATTAAAAAGTAATGTTCACTATTAAAAGGTTCATGCAGGGACAAGATTTTGTGGCTCTCCCCAGTGAGTCGAGGGTCTTAAAGTCTGACTCTAGTGAAAAATGTCCACGAAAAACATATTGTAAGCAGTAATTGACCATAATTATAATGATAATGATAATGAAGTAGAGAGGTATAGTGATTACATGTACCACGTTTGTTGTTGTTGTTGTTGCCGTCTAGTCGCCAAGATAATTTTTGTTCAATCTTACTCAAACTGTGTTATGTTATGAAACAATGTGTACCGTTGGTGCAGTTCAATTTTAGAGTGACTAGCTCATCTTTTTTTTTTCTGGGAGATATTGGTGAAAATGTTGTAGCTGAAAAATGTAACCATATTCTTTCCCCAGATGTCTTTTTTGTGGAGTAGAAACTAGGAACCAACAGTGTCTGTTTTTGTTTACTTACTGTTACATAGTCTCTGTGAGTTATCAAGTTTAGGAAATATATAAAGTTTCATTAAAACAAAATTGCCACTAGTTTGAATGTGAAACGTGATCCAGAAAACAAAATGACATACATCAAGGTCCATAGTTCTAGAGCCATATCTCTGACATGCTTTGAATGATTATGTTCAAATTTTATATATTCATTATACATCATCTTATAGATATGCAGGTATATTGGTATGGCAATCCAATTCGAAATGGCCAAATGGTGGCCATTTTTGAGCTAAAAATCATCAAAAATCAAGCATTTCTGGCATTCCAGAACTTGATCTTGGTCGTTTATGGATAGATTTCGTTCAAACTTGGTACATACATTAGACATTTTGGGTTACTGATGAACGTCATTTTGTTTTTGGTGGCCATTTTGTTTTAATGAATACGGTTCTAGAACCATATCTCTGACATGCTTCGACTGATGTTCAAATTTTATATGTTCCTTATACATCATAGATATACAGATGTATTCAAAATGGCCGATTGGTGGCCAATTTGTTTTAAATAATGCTGTTCCAGAGCAATATCTCTCAATATGGACAAGTACTCGTACTGTGTTACTATAAACAAAAGTACTGTAAAACTTGTTGAAAAAGCGACATGCAAATTTAGTGAATTGTGGTAAAATGACATAATAGCGAAATATTGATTTAGCCAATCTCTTCTGTCATTGTTGATTCCCTGTTTTCTCAATACTTCTCTGTCGCATGCCAAAGCAGATACGTAGTTATCACCTCCATAAAAACAAAGAAAAACTGTCAAGTGTAATTGAGAAGTGCCCCAGATTTGTATGTTCCGAATTACCCAAGCCTTGGCCATTTTGAATTTATAATAAAGTCATTAGCGACATCTTGAATTAGCGAATCAGTTCTCTCACTAAATTCACTAAAAAGAAATGCTTGCGAAAACAACAAGTTTTACAGTATGTAACTTAGATTTGATAACTAACGGGGACTGTGCCATGCATGGCTTGTAATTTTATAATTTGCATAAGAAAAAATATATTTTCTGTCTTCGTCACAAATATCTCAATAACCTCTCTGAATGAGACTTGATACATGCCTTGGGGTACCGGTAATCCAATATTAATGATCAGTTTAGGGTTGAAAACAGATAGTAGACACGACTAACATATCACATATCATGTCTGATATTTGCCATATCGGTTAGTATGTCCGCCTAAGTTAGATTTGACTTGTATTCTTCTCATGCCAGGCTTGTGGCATTTGTACTTAGGAGATTGGCATCTTCAGGAATGGACATAGGGTTGTCGGTTCAATATATTGCTCCTATCTTCGGTGCTCGTCCTGCGAGACAACTGACGTATAATTTCTTCTCAATACGTGTATATACTGTAAAACATGTTGAAAAAGCGGCATGCAATTTTCGCGAATTGTGTTAAAATGGCGTAATAGCGATATGTTGATTTAGTGAATCTCTTTTCTCTAATATGACTAAATTACAAATGGCTATGCATGCATGGTCATGTGATCTCATTAATATCTCAAGTACTGTTTCAGAAAGTGACGTGTAACGAATGCTCTAATGAACGCAACAGACAGAGAGATATCACTAATATAACTCATTAGGCATAACTGTAATATTAAGCGCTTATGCAGAACATGAAACATGTCTAATAACCAATCAGATTATTATATATGGCCATGTGATCTCATTAATTATGCCAGAATATCATATTCACAGATATCAATTGTAACCATGCATGTTAATTATCTAAATTTGCATAAATTAGGCATTTTTTTTTTCAATTAGACAATGAGTTCTCTAAGTAAATCACAGACATGAAAACCAGACATGTATACACCCAATGTAATACCATAGCTACAATAAGAATCATTTGTTCCTTGTAAAAAAACTGTAACACTGTTGATCGTTAGGCCGTTGTCCTATTTTTTCATGTTCTTGTCCCCAATTTACAGTACATCTCAGTAAATTTAGCCACCTTCTTCTGATCGTGACTAAGTTGAGCCATATAAGAAATGGTTTCCTGTCAGTCTATAAGGCAGCAAGATAACTAATAGTAGAATATATACTAGGAGACTGTTATAGGGCTGTTAACGTGACAAAATAGGACGAAAACTAGAAACGATGGGAGCAGTTCATTTCCTAGAAGGAAAGCTAAAAGATCAGAGCGGGTTTCTTGAATGACAGTGCATATGTATCTAATTTCTAATGACATTTTAATCTCCTTCACACAGCCTGTACATTTATGTAGTAAAGAGAAATATTTAGGTATTGCTCCAAAATGCGACTTATTGTAATGGCAGTGTGTACACATTCTGAAAGTTTTGATATATTGCTATGAATTACCGTAATTTGATCCCTTCTGTCACTTAAGGAGTATACACTTACAATACAGAAAATGTTATCATCGAATTTAGGACTAATTATGCAATAATAAATGACATCAATCTGAATACTTTCCAAACAACATGTACATGTACTATAAAATAAAACATTTCCCAGTGTTATTATTATCATTATTAACATACGGTTTTTGTTTTAAAACAAATTGTTTGTGCAAAGATTTATTTAAACTGAGGTGTACCTTATTTTCACGAATATGTTACTAGGGCAATACACAGCCTCATCTCAGCACTTTGGGGATTTTGTCACATGAAAACTATAATGATCAACTTTGAAAACAAAATAATGTTCTCATTACCTCTATTAAAAGTCTGCACCTCTCTCTCTCACTCTCACTCTCTCGCGTTTTGTACAAATTTTTGAGTTTTGATGTGTCATTTCGTGAAAAACGTACGCAAGTGTTTAACCTCATTCTTTACAATTGCCTGAAAATGAAAATATAAAAGATGTTTTTTTTGGTCACTAATCAATTTCCAACCAGCACATTTTTTGTTAACAACCTCGTATGTTTTCCCCTTCTTGTGTTGATTGAGCGCACAATAATATTCCGTTGGAGGTCCGACATAACTCCACCAGCAGAAATTACAAAATACACACACTTCTATGGTGTGCCTGTTAGACAAACTTTCGTAAACTCTCACGATGCCATCCGTCCATTCAATATGTTGTCAGAAGTCCTCCTGTCTATGCTGTGTGTAGTTACATGGAAGACAACAACAAAAATGCAAGGCTGAAAAACAAATATTTTTTTAATTGGGATTCTTTAAGCCATAATGGGGGCATATGGCTTCCAACATTGTGTGAATGTATCTTAATCTCTTGTGCATCACGTAGCTACCTGTATTTTTTTCACTCATTTATGCGTTGCACATCATGGGTGTTTTTGTGGTTACCCAGTCCCTGTGTATGTTCGATCAGTATCTCAATAGCCAATAATTGCATTTCACAGAAACTTTGATAATATAAATGCATATGAGGACAATGTACAGACCTGATTCATTTTGAGTTAAAAATCTGTGCATAATAATGATCTAATTTGCATA